GGAATTACACGAATTAAGGTGAAACGAGAGTTATATAAAAATTTCTCTTGACATTTGAAAATGACAATTACTTATAAATGTTAAATTTACAGACTCTGGATCGCGACCCATTTAAAAATATTTTCAGAGTAATGCGGAAGTACAATAATAATCAAATCATGACACATTTAAAAATCTGATGATCAAACATTTGCCTGCCATCCTTGCATCTCCTCTGACTCAATGCCCTCCGGGAAAGGTTCCATCATTGTCTTCTTGTTACCTACGTGTAGTCAACGAAAAATACAAACTACACGCTCAGCGAAACCGCTGAGTGGTACCACGCTAGAATTGTAGAATGATTCACAGACATATACATATACATATATATACGTCCACAAATGTATAATAATAATATTCATGATATGGCACATTATATCATATGGTCAATTTGATGATTCATGATGATAAATATTTAATGATAATTACATGATGGCACATTTAATCAATTTGCTTGTTCTTGATGATGATTACATGAAGCCTATGTAGTCAATGTAATTGTACTTGATGATAATAACATGATGCATGATTCTAACGAGCAAGGACACCCTTGCGCTATGAGATTCGCCCATTTGGTACGACGAACTCACGCGGCCTTAGTCTCTCAAGGGAGACTAGAAAGTAGGGGTGGTACTCATAGCCTGAATACCATGTACGTACACTAAGCCCGGAACGGGTGATGTCGGACTAGTAAGTCCCGCACATCACGCTATAAGAGACGCAATTACGCATGATCTCTTACGCATGCACATGATATGATATGCTACAATATGTGTGATGATATGAGTCATATGATATGAACAATTTGTAAACAATATGAATGGATAAATATACTTTATTTTATTTGGATGAAATCTGATAAAAATATTATTTAATTAAGCTACGGGGCTCGGAACGGTCGACCGTTTGGCGCGACAGTCGACCTTGATCTTCATTTGGTCGGATTGGCGGATCACCGTGACGGTCGACCGCGGTTGACCGGCGGTCGACCGTTGTTGACTGGGTGGCGACGGCGGTTCTCGGCTGGGCGACGGTCGACCGTCAGTCAACCGCGGTCGACCGTTTGGCTGACAGTCATTGTTCGTCTCGAAGTTTTATCACGACGGTCGACCGTTTGCGTCGACCGTTTGATTATGCGAGTCTTACTATTGATATTTTGAGGGTCCAAAATATTTTTTTAAGTCTTTTAAACACCTTTGATTGAAATATACATATTGTAGGGTCGATTTCCAAAGTTTATATTTACTTATGTGTATATTAACCTTATAGATTTGATGTATTTTGATCTTAACATATAGATGACTTATATATGCATCACATATATATTTTGGGATAATTTCAACATATGGATTAACATATATGTTCATGTACGTATGTGATGAATGATTCGACAAGTCTAACGCAAATGTACAGACCTGGAAATCATCGGTCGAAACCTTACGGATGAGCGGGAGTGGAAACAACATCGAAATTCACCATTTCTGTTCATATTTTGAACAGAAAAAGTAGGGCTTCTGTTCAAGACATGAACACTCCAATCAACTTCTTCGAGCCAAAAAGCTTTTGGGACACCATTTCTCCACAAAATGCTTCGCACCATATTCAAAATAGTGAGATTCTTCCACTCACTAACACCGTTTTGTTGCGGAGTGTATGCAGGTGTTACTTGCCTCTTCATCCCTGATTTGTGCCATAATTTTTAAACTCCTCGGACAAATACTCTCCCCCACGATTTGTATGAAGAACCTTGATTAAACGACTCTTTTCCTTCTAAACTAGTGCTTTAAAGTTCTTAAATGCAGCAAAGTCTTGGGATTTTTCTTTTAAGAAATAACTCCATATCTTTTTACTATAGTCATCAATGAAAGTAATGAACTATCTATTACCTCCATTAGAGACTGGCTTTATAGGACTACATATGTCAGAGTTTACCAGATCCAACACATCCTTAGCTCGCTATGAAGACATTTGAGAAAATTGAGTTCTGGGTTGTTTGCTAAACACACACACACACACACACACACATATATATATATGTATGTATGTATGTATGTATGTATGTATATATGTATGTATGTATATAGACACACACACAAACCTTACATGCCTCAAACCCACGTTTGCCACTCTAATATTTTACGTAACTCCCCACGCCTCATGTCTCGAATCTCTCTTTCATTTTTCTCTTGGTCGAAGAACAACAGCGAAGGAATAGAGAATAAGAAGAGGAAGAAGAGGAAGGAAGTTGCACTATTTGATTTCCTGTTCCTTGGTATTATTTTCGTAGTTTCCTAATTGTCGTAATCAAAGTGAGTATGTGGGCATCTAACGTATAGTTATAACCATAGATTTGAATCTTAGGTTCGTAGAACCGTTACGTTTGAGTTATGTGAAACCTTATGTGAATTATGTGTTGTTTGTGTCGTTTTGCGATTGGAAGAGATTAATTGTTCTAGGTATGCTTGGGGTATGCTAGAGAATGTTTGGATTGATATTATGAATGTGTTGTTTGTTATTTGGGTGGGTTTTATGTGAGTTCGATGGCTGGAAAATGAAACTAGAGCAGGTTGTACCACCAGGACAGTACCATGCTACCGCCACCAGCTGTTTCTTCATATTTGGCCTTTTCAGTACCTGTGTCTTTTGGTACATTGGTACCAGACGGGCGGTAAGCCTTACGGCGTGGTCGGTAGCTGGCTACCGTGATAGGTCTACTAGAAAGGTAAATTACGCACGATTGATACCCCGTATTGTGAGGTCGGTACCCAAGTACCGTATAGACAGTACCTTATACTGGGACAAGTACCGTATGGTACCTCATTTAAGGTCTGTTGGTTTGTGTTTTCGTCAAGGATTGATTCTGAGACTTTAATTTGTGTGTTGCATGGAGGTAAACATGCGTGTTTACACTCAGTTTTAGGTCAATATTTGATCATGTTTGGATATATCTTGATAATGCGTTGTTGATTTGCGAATGTTGAACTATGATATCTAGAGGAACTCTAGGGAATGACCTGAATGGATTGAGTGCATTTTATGCCATAAGTATAGTAGGTTAGAGCCATGTGGTACCTGCTGGGTCCAATGGCTATCCGGATAAGAATGCACGCACAGGAATCTATGAACTGTAGTTTCGAAAGAGGAACTCCCGAGTTGGTTTGAGCTTGGCCTTTGTTCCGAAGATGAAAGTCATGACTCTCATAGGCAAGTTGAAATTAGTTAAGCTTTAACCTAGAATAGGTTATGAGTCAAGTATAAAAAGAAAGTTAACCATATTTATAAAGAGTACTTAACAGTCATATTACTGTGTGGTTAATATTGTGATCTGTTATGATGTTATGAATGTTTTTCTGTGCATGATATCATATATATGATGATATGGGCTAGTTACGCAGTATGTGTGTATGACTGTATGTTATATATTTCTCACTTAGCTTCGATGCTACAATAGCATTCAAAAGTATATAAATGAAAATATTTTCAGTAATTTAAAATATCCAGTAATATACGGAGTAATGTAAAACTATTTTTGTTTTATTATACTTTCTCCGTCTCATTAACATGTTTCTATTTTGATTTTTAGTAAAGTTAAAGGAGAGATGTTTTTGTGTTGACTCTGCAAAAATACTCTTGATGTGATGAGTAAAAGTAAAATATAATGGATAGATTATTAGTTAAAAAATATGATGTGATAGGTAAATTAAGAATTAGTGGAGTAAAGGTGTTTTTTAAAACAAATCAGAAAAATTTTATAGGAGAAGTATAAAAGAAAGAAAAAAGAATTTTTGGGAAGAACAAAATATATTTATGGTTTATGGGGTCATTGATCTGGATTGACTAGGACTAACAAGTAATAACTAACGAGGAATTTACTTAAATAACACCAAAATATAATGACTTTTCCTAAATAGCATCACATTTGTTTTTCTTCCCAATATAGCACTTTTAGTCATTACTACGTATGCATTAGTCATTATTTAAGTAAATATTCACCATCACTGGACATAATGGATATTATTAAGTCGTATTCAAGAAATAAAACAATTTAAGTGTTATTTAATAAAATGACTTAAGTTTTAGTGTTATTTAGTGCAAATATTTCATACTTCGTACTCCTTAACTAATAGAAAAATGCTAGGGATACACCAAAAGTGTACCCATATGTTCCCCACCCCATCTTTGTCCACTAAAAAAGGCAAACAAATTTAAAAGAAATAAGTAAATAAAAATCAAATAAAAATGTGTGGTAGAGAAGAGGTGGTGTACATTTGGGTACCCCTTTTGGTGTATCCCTAGCATGCATTGCTCTAACTAATAACATTGCCATTAAACACTCACATATGAGGGGTCGATTTAAATTTCGAATTTTTGGTCTTCCGCACGCTCGCATCATCGTTTTCATCGTCCACGCCCTTCAAAGTGACAGATCCTAAAACACTGCCGACCAGACTGTACTTTCCGGAGGACACAATCTCTTATATGCTGGAGATAACCGGAAATCATTTCGCCGGTGAATCGGTTGATTCAATCGTACACCTACAATGTTGTCGACCTGCAATGCCACCGTTGGCAGCTCGAGTCTTGCCTTCCCGAATCCGCCCCGCCTTTTCCATCCCAGCAATCTGATTTTCGGTCGACGCCGGAATTCCGTATTTCCCGGCGAATCTCTGCGCTCTAGTCCGGTAATGGCCGTGTCCGCTCAGGAGCCTAAGGTTATTGAACCCGCCGCCTCTGAGCCGAGCCTTGCTAGTCGGCTCAGGCATGGCAGCTTGGCGGCAGACGGGTTTTCTTTCAAGGAGAAGTATATTATTCGGTGCTCCGAGGTCGGGGTTAACAAAACTGCAACCATTGAAGCCATCGCCAATCTCTTGCAGGTAAAGAGATTTATCTTCTTCCGATTAAGTCATTGATTTTTCAATCAACTTCCTTTCACTTAGCATTTGATTTGATTACAACTCAATTCTCAGCCTGACATCCTAAGAATATGACTATACAAAGGCTAGCCAATCTGCTAGATACATATCTATCTATGGAATTTGTGATTTTCCCCTATATTTATAATGTGAACCATCTAAGATTGATGAAATATGTTCCAAAGCTTGATTTTTCTTAAGATGTTTTTGGGCAGGAGGTTTCGTGTAACCATGCTCAGAGTGCAGGATTTTCCACCGATGGGTTTGCGACCACTCATACCATGAGAAAATTGCGCCTTATATGGGTTGCTGCACGAATGCACATTGAGATTTTTAGATACCCTGCCTGGTAGTACTCATTTTCTTCCTCTTCATACAATAGTTATGTTGGAACCATGAACTGTATTATTCACTCTTGGGCTGAGTAGGAGCGATGTCATCGAGATAGAGACTTGGATTGCTAGCGAGGGAAGGATTGGGACACGGCGTGATTGGGCTATTAAGGACTGTGCAACTGGTGAACTGATTGGGAGATGTACCAGGTGTAGTGGAGTACTTATACACAGTTTTGAACCTATTTGCAGAGTGATCTAATGTCATAGTGTGATATTCACATTGTTTTAGCTTTGGTAACTAATGGACTAAATCAAAATGACAATCAAAACTTCTTTTGCGTCTTACTTTGTATGAATTTTGGGTACAATATACAACAATATATCAAGGGTCTAATGGAAACATCTCTATTTTGTTGGGGGTAAGGTTATGTATATCTTTACCCCCATATCTCATCAAGATTGGATTATCTTAGGTTTTGTTGTTGCTTTTGTTGATATTTTTTAAAAGTTTTCTTCATCTTTTGCTATGTTTTATACAAGCTCTGAATGGAAAATTACCTTTCTATCTAAGAAATTGAGGCTTCATTTGATTCTGTTTATAAAAGGATCATGTCAATTTTTTTCCTATAATCTGTTTGTGATTTATTTGTTTCTGATTTTGAGTAGAATCAGTTGGTCAATTTTATTCCCAGAGTTTGATTTTCATAAATAACCAACTATTCCTCGAATAGAAAATGTTGAGAATCATAATTTGACAAAAGTAGAATTAAAACCAAATGATCCTCTAGTACATTCAATTTCTTATTACTGTTTTAGCCTTTCTAGGTAGTTGTTTGAATGTCTATATGTTGTGTAAGTTCTAATGGATAATCAACCTTTTAATTGCAGCATGTGGCTGATGATGAACCAAGACACCAGACGGCTTCAGAAGGTAGTTGATGATGTTCGTAATGAGTTGATACCTTTTTGCCCCAACCCGCCAAGGTAAAAGTTCTGGTGCAGCGAAACAGAAAGTTTCTGCCTTTCATCCTTATCTTGTGCTTTTCTATGCATTTAATTTCTAAAAATTTATAGTTTCTTGAGTTCTATTTCACTAGTGTTGTCACATTTTAAATCTTTGTTCACTCACAAGTCACAACAATGTACCCCGTAAAATGTCACAAAGTGGGGTCTGGGACTCTGGGTGTGTACATAGTCCTTACCCCTACCCAAATAGTTGAGAGGTTGTTTTCAAGAGACCCCCGACTTAAAACACAAGAGTAGAACAACAAAAGTAGCACAAATAAATTAAGAACACAGACCAAAGAAGCACATATACAGAAATTTAAGAACTCAGTCACAAAGCGCACACACAAAAGCTACTGATTAAGACATAAAATCACACATCCATGAAGTTGTATCTAAAGCCATATCCTTGGTAGGATCCTAAAGTGGTATAAACCTCATCTAATCACTTTCATCCAACTCTTTTTAAGTCTAGCTCTACCCCTCCTCATGCCCCCTAGTGCAAGCCTCTTGCACCTCTTCATAGGGGCATCCGTACTCAACACGTGCCCAAATCATATAAGTGTAGCTTTCCACAACTTATCCTCCATATATATCAATCCCACCCTTCCCCGAATAACTTTATTCTGGATCTTAAATATCCTTGCATAGCCACACGTCCACCTATGCATTCTCATCTCTTCCTCCCTCGAAGTTGTCAAACAAGAGTTCACTTCACCACCCAACATTTGGCTTCGTACAACATAGTCAAACCAGTGTTCGATAAGATTTTCCTTTCAGGTCTGCCGATATCTTCTTATCATAAAGGACACCTGAAACTAGCTCCCACTTTGCCCAAGCTACTTTAATTTGTTGAACACCCCCATCCATATCCACATTGGTTTGAATGATGAATCCAAGTTACCAAAACTTACCAATCCTCACTTCCACTACCTACCAAGACATCCTACCGTTGAAGCAACATTTCACGTACTCAATCTTAGTTCTGCTCAATTTGCACTTCTGGACATCTAGGACTGCACCACACAACCAATCTATCATTGAGTCCCTCATGTGTCACGTCAATCGGCGCATTGTCATCAACAAATAACATGCACCAAGGTACCCCCCCTGAATACGCCGCGTAAGAACATCCATTGCTACTGCAACTGCAAAAGGACAGACCCTGATGTAGTCCTACCTTCAACAGAAAGTGGTAAGAGTCGCCTCCTATTGACATCTGTTTAGTTTGCTATGCCTTTTCCAAGTCAATAAATATCATGAAAAGTCCCTCTTTTTGTCCTTACACTGCAACATCAGTCTCCACAAGAGACAAATGGCCCCGGTGGTTGACCAACTAGGCATGAAATCAAATTGATTCCCATGAATGCTCACCTTCATCCTTAACCTATCCTCAATGATATGTTATTATACCTTCTTGATGTGGCCAAACAATTTGATGCCTCTAAATTATCGCAAACCTGGGTATCATATTTTCCCTTGTACGACGTTGTCACCATCTCCACTCATCAAGCATCTTTTTCGTCCTGAAAATAACATTAAACAACTTGGTGGTCCACATCAACCTATCACTTTCCACAATAACCCAAAACTCAACGAGAATCTCATTTGGTGCCATCCCCCCCCCCAATCCAGCAAATAGCCCTCACCACCTTTTCTTGTCTATGCACCGACAGTACTCAAAATCTCGAGAACTCTCTTATTGCATCATCTCACCAAGTAATAGGCTTTCAGCCCCTTAAGCATTCAAAATCTGATGATAGTACAGCTGCCATCTGTTTCTCAAATTGACCTACAACAACAACAACAACAACCTAGTTAAATCCCACAAGAGTAGGGTCTGGGGAGGGTGTGTGTACGCAGACCTTGCCCCTACTCGAAAGTAGAGAGGCTGTTTCCAAAGAGACCCCCGGCTCAACGTCGAAAGTTGCATTGCTTGACTAACTGCTACTTCATTAATTAAAGAAGCGCAAATAGTTTAGAGATCCATTTTGATTCATTAATTAAAGAAGCGCAAATAGTTTCTCAAATTGACCTAATGGAACAAAATTTATTCACCCTCACCTTTAACACCTCAAATGTTGCAGATCTCGTGCCTTCACACACCTTCATCAGCTGAAACAATCTCTTTTTCCCCCCACTCTTTCAGATCCATATACAGATGTTCAAAAGTTGCAATCTTCACCAATGAGACTGCTAACTTAACTTTGGCAATCTTATGCTCCTCTCGTAACGACCCTATAACCTCCTCGTCTCTACACTCCATTACTCTCTTTGTTCATTTAATATTAGTATACTACTCTGTAGTAGTTTTTATGTGTACCATACAGTTGTTTCTGAAGCTATAGTAACTTGTTATGGACTGTTTTGGTATTTCATCTCATTATTCCTTCATAAGTTGTAATAATCATGTAAAAGTTATCCGCTGAAGAATTACATAGATTTGTAGGGGTGACTAATTTTTGAAATTTAGTTAACACTATTAATTCCTTTCCACAGGTCCCAACATCGTTGGGACTACGGAGCTGATCATGATGATGACGATTAGTGTTATAAATATGTTCAAATTTTGTTTTCAAGTGCTCATTTTCCATCTTCTGTGATTCAGATTAAAGTGTTATGATGCTCTTAATAGAGTGTTAATTTTAATGAACTTCTTTAATGCCAGGTTTTCTTTTCCCGATAAGAGTTCCAGCTCAAAGAAAATACTTAAACTGGAAGATCCAGCAGAGTATTCTCTCCTACGGCTGGTGGTAAGTATTCATTTTGGAATGTTGTGTATCCTGGCAGAATCCTCTGTTCAGTGTATTAACATAATCAGTTACATTGCAGCCAAGAAGAACTGATTTGGACATGAATCACCATCTGAATTTTGTAACCTACATTGGATGGGTACTCGAGGTTGGTAAAACTCATTGTTGTAAATAGAGATTTTTTTTCATTTGCACCCCTTATTTTGCCTCAATATTTGACGTTGTATCCATGTTTTATTTTCTTTGATTTTGCTTGCTGCATTTCACCTTTGACTTTGTATCACATGGTTTATCCCTGAGCTAATTTATTCTATCCGACTAAAATCCCAACCAATCTTGATTAAAACTTTGGTATAACCTTCTTTTGTTGATGTTGCCACAATGACATATTTCTGGTACCATAAGCTGCAAGATTCCTAACTTGGGTGTCTTCACAACAGAGCATGCCTCAAGAAATCATTGATACGTGTGAGCTGCAAACTATTACGCTGGATTATAAGAGGGAATGCCAGCACGATGACGTGGTTGATTCTCTCACAAGCCATGAACCACTTGATGGATCAGTGGCAGGTGATCGGAAGTGCTTCCTGCATTTACTCAGACTATCTAATGGGGGAGTTGAGATAAATAGGGGTCGTACCGAGTGGAGAAGCAAGTCTTGAGACTTATTTCCTGCTGATTTGTAGCATTGAACATATATATATATATATATTTTCATAGCTTGTTTTCTTGAAAGAGAAGTTGATCCAGTGCTTGGTGAGTGATTGGTGTGAACTGATATGCTCTTGAAGTTTTGAACTGCCAAACAAAATCTGTTGGGGAGAACATTTTTTCTCTCTAACGGTTGATGAAATTTGGCTGGGGTTATATTCCAATTCTTTTTCTAGTGATCACTATTCTACCTTTCCTAGTTCCATTTTATTTCAGTGGGGTTACAAGTTGAATTGATTGTTGGCTGTCCAAAAAAACGGAAAATTGAAGTTACTTGCATCCCGAGTACATTTTTTCACAGACATACACAGAAAATCATTGTCTTTGCATGCATGTACAGTGTTTGTTAATGTGTGTTTGTGATACACTAGTGTGCAAGTTGGGTTACAACTAGCACACCCCATATTTTGAACATGTTTGAGGTTAGCTTTTTTTTTTTTAAAGAAAGGTTAGCTTTAGCTTTATTTAAACATGCAAAAAATTAGATATGAACTATGCCTGAGTTTAAGTTTTTTCAAGATGTTCAGAGTTTTAGACGGATCGCCTATAAAATTCGAGTCAAACATCATGCCCTTATTGACACGTGAAGGTGATCAAAATGGACGTGAGTGCAGCACGGCTTGGAAGTTTTTTATGTACTCCATAAAAATATGTTTTATTAAAATAATACAAATATTTGTATCTAATATGTTTATATATTAAAATGAATATAACTTGCTACATCATATGCCATTATAGAATTATACTCCGTACTTGCTTTAATAAATATACAACAACAACAACCCAGTTAAATCCCACAAGAGTAGGGTCTGGGGACGGTGTGTGTACGCAGACCTTACCCCTACTCGAAAGTAGAGAGGCTGTTTCCAAAGAGACCCCCGGCTCAACGTCGAAAGTTGCATTGTTTGACTAACTGCTACTTCATTAATTAAAGAAGCGCAGACAGTTTAGAGATCCATTTTGATTTATTCCATCACACCCCAAAGCCAAAGTTGGTGAAATTTTTGCTTTAATAAATATACTAAAAAGATATTTGTATAATACTCCGTATGTCGTGTATTATATGTTTATATGTATAGGACATGGACGAGTCTACATGCCAAACGTAAAATACAAGCGTGTTCGTATTACGTTGCGAGCCGGCCCGATTGGGTTGTATGGCTTATATAGTTTCCATAACTACCCTTTTTAAGGGCAGGATGGGCACATCGGATAGGCCAACCCAAGTTTGGGCATGTCTAAGCTTTAAGTAGACTTTCAAACTTTTTATCTGAAGCTCATAAAAATCTTAATCATGGTATACTCTTAGTCTGTTCTTTACAAAGTTCGCCTCGTGTTTGATTTGCACTTATGACATTTCCTACATTGCCCATAACCTATTTAAGCATATAATTTCACGCATAGATGATTGCTTAGAGTCAAATAAAGAAATGTGCAAAAAATGGGTGTAGAAATGTTTATACCCTAACCGGAAAACCACAAATTCAACCAACACTAAACAAATACAAAGATTACACCCAAGAAAGTATGTAAATAGACATACTTGCACTCCCACTATTCCAGAATAAGTGACGCATTTGACCCGACACGATTACTAAGAAAAATGAAATTACTTAATTGAGATTTGTTCAGAGAAGATATCAATAATATGAAGGAAACAATTTTTTTCTGGAAGAAAAAAATTGGAACTTTCTTTTGGGTCATACCAAAGAATGAAATGTGAAACGTTTGCCTGCATAATCAAGCAAAAGCTATACAAGGCTTCCAAAAAAGGGTGGACAAGAAATGATTTCAAGAAATTTAGTTCTCCATCTACTCAAAACGTTTAATACAGCAATATATTGTTATATCCTCAGGCTGCACTGGAACAACCCTGCAGACAAGAAATATATAAAGAAAGAAAGAAAGAAGAAAAAAAGGGCAAAAAGAAAATCATAGAAGATTCATAGCTGGATTAGGAACACAAAATACAAAAACTTCCCAAATATTTCAATTGAATTTCGATATTGGTCAAAACAGAATCAAGAGTTTTACTAACTCCAAATCCTTGTAATTTTTCTTACCCTTCAGCCTGCATGGAAATATCTTAAATAAATCTTGCAGGAGTCCCGGCTGCCTGCCTCTGAAGCTCTTGGTTCTCTTCCAAGAGACGGTCATATTCCAGAAGAAGAGCCGCAGTTTGGTTCTGAAGAGAGTTGACATTCTCTTCAGCTGTTTGGATCCGTTTCCCCTTCTTTTCGCATTCCTCCTTGGCCGTTTTCACTTCGTCCTTCAAACATGAGATTTCTTTCTGTAGTTGTTTGACTTCCTCTTCTGCTTGTTTTGCCTTCTCATTGAACACCACCTTTTCCTTCTCAAGCTTTCCAACTTCGTCCTTTGATGTCGCCGCGCCACTTTGCAGCTCAATCAATTCCCGAATGTAGAAATGGATTCGGTCAATCAAGAAACCAAGAAACAGGGAGAAGCCTGTAAAGTCGAGATCAAGATTAAGAGCAGAGAGAGAGAGGACCTCATGAGTGGCTAGGAATCCTATAATGAGAACACACTGTTTATCAGAGAGACGATATGTTCAGGACAGTTTTTTGGTTATTGTTTACATATAGTATAGACTAAGACATTTTGAGCAGATGAATGATAGTGTCTCCAAGAACAAAAAGCAAATCAAATCCATTTGTTCTCTATGGTGTTCACTTCCTTATGAATAGCTTCGTTTGCACTTATTTAAACCTATTACTTATGTCAGTCTTCTAATTTTTGGGGTACCCAAACGTGACAATATAGAAACACTTGACTAAATCCGCTTTTAACACTACTCCACTTCTCTGGATCCATCATAAACAAAACAATTCACACATTCTACCAAGAATTAGATGAAGAACATCAAATTCAATAGGTAAGAAGCAAGGGAGGTGTAATCTACCATTTTGGTTTAGTCAATTATACACCCAAAGCTAAGAAAATCTTTAAAAAAATGACTCTTTTAGCTCCGTTGGCAATGGACACAAGTTGATTGGATAACAGTTTATGAGACTCAGTACCAATGAGTGTTCCATTGAACATAGAAACAACCCAAAACACAACTCTACGCAGAGTCCTGTTTGGCTTCAGTTTTAGCATCTGACTCTAGCCTCTTGAAAAATCACTCCAACGGTATAGCCTTGAAAAAAATTTTAAAAATCTTAACACTAATTACAAGCACTGTTCACAACAAGCAACCAATTTCCATTTCCAACATCAGCACAATCCAAGGCACAGACATGACAACCAAGAAGCAACCAACACTTTCCCATTCAAGAACAACACAAGAGAAAAGGAGTTACCAAAAATCTAGGGAAGCGAAATAGGCGTTACGATCGTAATATACATATATACCTATGAGAGTGGCTTCCAACAAGTTGGTCCTCCAGAGAACTTGATCCATGGGGGTCATAGTTCCAAGCTTAGCACCCTTGTTCTGGATCCTGACAATGCTGAAGAAATGGGACAACAGGATGGCACAGAACACGCCCGCAATGGTCAAAACAGTGCCCTTCATCGTCTTCAGATGATCCAAGCCGTTCATCACCAGCTCCCTCAAAGGCCCAATCTTCACCACAAGAAGGAAAGCCAGCACCCCCTCCGACAGCAGAACCAGTAGCAGCAGCTGAATCATCTCCACAGACCAATAATTACCCTTTTCTTCTTCTTCTTCCTCCTCTTGATTTGATTGAGCATCAAGATTCAAGAAAGCCCCAAACTTCCTTTCCTCAAGAAATCACCATCATCTGCAAGCATAGAAACCCTAGCTTCATCTACACTCACAATGCTGCAGAAGAAAGAAACCCTTTTGCGGGATTTAACGATCTTTAATCGGGGGAATGTCTGATCTTTACAGTGCAGTCGGAGAAAAATTCCCAGATACTACTCCTGATTACTGGGTTTGAAAATGGAAAGTCTGGGCTTCAAGCTGAATGCAAGTGGGATACTCGGATCTACTGTATTTAAGTACGGTTGAGTTCTACATTTACAAGTAAAATCTAATTTCATCTCAAATTACTTTTTCTTGAACACTAATAACTTTATTACAGTATAATATTTGTTCATAGGTTTTCTATATATTAAAGATGGTAGTGTTATTTCAAATTACTTTTAGTTAAGTGTCCCTTATTTTATTATTTATAGTTCAATTCAATTTATTTCAGCTCATTACTTTTTCATTCAATTTAGTTTAGTAAATTTTAGTCGAAAAAGAAAATTTATAAATTCATTTATTTTGGCTGAAAATCCAGAATTTTATAGAACTTGACTTGACTTGAAATATTATTTGATACTATATAAAGAAAATGTTCAACTAAACTTAAATATGAACTTGATGATAATTATAATTTGATTTCAAGATACTCTTTAATCCTATTTTATTGATTACAACTCTTATTCACGCGGTCAAAGTCTTTTCTTTTTCTTTATAGATTTTTACCTAATATAAGCTCTTATTTTATAAATATTTTATATTATTTTTAAATGCATAAATTTATTTATTAAATTTTAAAATTAATATTTATATAAAATAATTTAAAAATGATGTTTCTTATCCAAAATCAAAGGGAATTGAGATACTCCATTATATTAAACTAAGGCCTTATTGTTTCAGGTTATGATTTCCGAGTTGAATGTTGTAAGAAATTAGAAAAAGTTAAAAAAAAAGAAGGAATTATAAAAAAAATGGAAGAATATAGAAAACATTGAAAGAATTGAAATCTTAAAAAATTACTTATTTAATTGATCACTCAAATAAATGTATAAGAAAAATTTAATTTTAAATAAAAAAGAACTTATCTTTATTTTAACCCAAAAATAAACGGTAAGTCATTGTTGTAAGAAATGTGGAGGACTTGAAAATTAATTTTTTAACTCAACAAAATTAGGCATATGGCCGATATGGGTAAGAAAAAGGTTACCAAGTACTCAAAGAAAATACTCCGGTGTACTTCAAAGTCGTTAGAGAGTGTTTGGTCTTGGAAAAAAGTACAGAGTAATTTTAAAAGGAAAAGGCTTGGGATCCCTGGGCCCATTTCGTTTAGTCGTTTAGCTAGTCAAGACTTAGGAGTTAGGACTTGTATGGAAAAAAAAAATTATTATTATATTTGTTTTAAATATTCTTTTAATGATAAGATTAATACTCCCTCC